GTACTTGTGAGAGTGAGGTCCACTGTATCCCTTCAGTGTGTCCTTTGGTATGTCACCAAAAGGGTGAAACTACTTTAGCTCTTAGAGTTAAACAAATGCAATGGTGTGACCTTCCTCTCTACAGTCAGCTGATTGGACAATGAAAATATCATCAGCTCATGGTTAAGTGATCATATCATCTGCTCTCTCCTCCTGTATTCCGTATCATATTCTTTATCAGTACATGTGAATGTAGCAAAGCCTGATTAGTTCTTAGGGCTGTCTCTCCCTCTTCCAGTGCTGCTGTAGGCAGGGGCCAGCCAAATTTCAATCCATGTGTAGCCACTGTGGTTTAACAGAAGTCGATCTAACCACCCTGTTGTTATATTCTTGTTCAATCAGCACTTCAGGCTATAGAATGCAGCACTGATCAGTGTATTCTGAATGTAAAGTGAATTAGTTTTCCATGGATACTCAGCTGCATAAAATCATGTTTTTATATCTGTCTGTAGCTCAGCCCTAACTTCATAAGCTTCAGAAGAGTCAGATGCTTGTGGGTATGATCGTGACTACTTCATAATTAAACTGTATTTTTTAAACTACTGTTGCACTGGATCATGATTTTTAAGAAGGGGCTTCTCATAGCTGTGCCATTTAGGTACAGGTCTGTGATATTTTGGTGCTGACATCACCAATGCCAGAGAAGGTATGTATACATCAGTACTGTTTAGGTTAGGTTAGCTTTGCCAAAGTTTTGATCTCCGGGGTTATATTTCGGGAAATAGGTTGATAGTGTTAATAAACAGTGGGGAGTGAGTTTAAAGCAGACCTTGCACCCCTTATGCAAAGTCCACCTATACAGTGAGGGCCCCTCCCTCATCTCAATGTGCTGCATAGACATCACCAATTTTCCAACGAGATACTGGGAAATTCCAGATACCGATAATTTTGCATTTTGCTAAAGCACAATGCAATAGTGTCTTCTCAACAGATTTGGGCTTCTTAATAGTCTCCAGGATCTCATTGGAAGAGTGCGGACCTTACGTTTGTCTAGGCATTGTGGGCAGAAGTCAAGTCAGGGTAATATATATATATATATTTATATATATATATATTATATATATATATAAATTTGTGCTGGGAATTAAGGTGCGGGAGGGGGCCTTGCTTAATGAGCAAGCCTTGCTACTTTTTTTGTGTTAAAAGCATCACACTGAGGGGTTGATTTACTAAAACTGGAGAGTGCAAAACCTGCTGCAGCTCTGCATGGAAGCTTCCAAGTTTTATTGAACAAGCTGAAGTTAGAAGCTGACTGACTACCATGTACAGCTGAACCAGATTTTGCACTCTACAATTTTAGTAAATCAACCCCTAAGAGTTAATGTGTGGGGATCTGGCTCTGCTAAGTACCATACTGTTTCTTTTTAGGATGAAGCCTTTCTCTTGCTGTCACATCCCATTCTGTTATGTACTTTTTAAATCTCTAGTTGGATTCCAACACTGAAAGACATAATATTTTAAGTGGTTGTTAAAAAATCAGTAAACTGTGTACTGGTGCACAGGGGAAGGGTACTAGGAGTAAATTTTGTACAAGAGTTCCCTCTTTTGTACATTTTAGATATTTTTTATTACAGCTTTCAGTGACACCTTTTTGACTTTCTACTTTGTGCTTTCCTTACAGCATGAACCCATTAGAGATAACATTTCAATTCCATGTTATAAATCACTTTATAACGCATGTAAAATCCTATCACGTTTATAACATTTCCTCATTGCACATTCACTCTTCATCTCATGTTTAATGACTGCAGAGGGATTTAACATACAGAGAAAACATTCTGAGAAAAGTAGCTGCTCCATTGTTGTCCACAGCAGCCCTATCATTCCTCGCCAGCGATGAAATGTTCTCGGAACTCAAGCTGATCTCACACCAAGACTGTATGCTGAATCAGGACTTTGTGGTTCCAAATTCATGACTCAATCACATACTAGAGATTTTACTAAAAATAAGAAAAAATATCCCCCCCATGCAGGTTGAAATCCTATTTTCTCTGCTGGATGAACATTTGTTATCTCTATACGGCACCTGCACCATACTGATTTCACAGTAAAGAGGGTTAATGTAATCCAGTCTTTTTAGGGGTGGTCTGCAGTTATGATATCGCATGGCACAGCTGAATTCAATTATAGAAGCAGAAGAAAGCATTATAGGCATCAAATTTGAATCAGAAAACAGAGGGGAGAGATGAGACGATTGGCTTATATCCACTGAAGTTCTTTAGTGGGGAGAAAAACAATATCGACAGCCACCCTAGATTAGGAATGAATTATAATAAGGTCTCTTGACTCCAGCTAAGGATTCCCACCTTCAATAACAAACAAGGCCCTGGGACAGGTTACGTGTGAATCGCAGAAATAGCATGAATAATGCATTTAGTGACTGTGGAATGAAAAATGAAGCTATTTGAACTCAGGGCTTTCTTCTGTAAAGGCGCCAGTTTTCAAAAACGTTTTCAAAAAAGTTCACTTCAGAGAACTCTCTATTTCCATTGCAGCATAAAAGAGGGGTTCATGTGGAGGAAAAGATGTAGACAGCATGTCATTTCTAAAGGGCAACATTGTGGCTAAGTGGTCAGAACACTGCATGGAGTTTTATGTGTGTATGGGGATTCGTTTCAGTGCTCTAAAACCACAATGGGATGTTATTGAAATATAAATTGGCCCTAGAGTGTGTGTTTCTAGTAAAATCTTTAGCTTGTAAGTTCCTTTAAAGAAGAATTCCAGGTATGGCATTTTTTAAAATGAGACCTGTGTAAAATAAAGTGATACTCTAGTGAATACATTGTATCATTACCTCAGATATATCCATAGTGCAGTATTTCCTTTTCTGTGACTAAAAACGGTTTTTGCACTCATGGCTTCCAAAAAGTGTCTCGCTAGCGCCAAAGCTGCTTTTGATGAGCTAGCAAACAGCAACAGTGATTTGAGTGATAGTGACTCATGTGGAAATTTGTCTTCAGACACCGACATTGAAGACAGCGCCGAATCTGAAATTGACATCAGTGATCTGCGAACGTGGTGCATTATTGATTGCGGCACGCCAGCGCCACTAAGATTCCCGTTTACCGGCGCACCTGGTATGAAATTCCACGTTGAAGGTGACAACCCCTTGGCGTACTTAGAATTGTTGCTGACCGATGAGGTTATTGAAATAATTGTGACGGAGACAAACAGGTACGCAGCGCAACAATTAGCTGCTCCATACAGCAGGTTTTCAGGAACTAGAAAGTGGGAACCTGTGATTAAAGAGGACATTTGGCTGTTTCTCGGCCTAATTATTCTTCAAGGAGTGGTGTGGAAACCGCTGCAGAAGTGGTATTGGACCACCAACAAAATGCTTGCCACGCCGTTCTTTGGCACAGTCATGTCAGAGTACTGTTTTTCACTCATCATGAAATTTTTGCACTTCCCAAACTAAAGAAAATTTGGGAAGTCTCCCCAAGTAAGTCTCAGAAATTTCCAGCAGAGCTATGTGCCAGAGAAAGACATCAGTATAGACAAAAGTCTAATGGCCTACAAGGGAAGGCTCAGTTGGGTACAGTACATCGCATCCAAGAAAGCACGATTTGGTGTCAAATCCTACCTGCTGTGCGAAATCCTCTACTAGCTACATCTGGAACACAGTCATTTATACCGGCCAAGGAAGAAAATTTGATCCAAAGCACAGAAAATATGGAATGGCAACATCTTTCGTTCTGTCACTAATTGAGCCTCTGCTAAACCAAGGTTACTGTGTAACAACGGACAATTTCTACACCTCTTCAGAACTTTACAAGGTTCTTCTGCAGCACAAAACGGATGCCTATGGAACCGTTAGGGCTAACCGACACAACCTGCCATCAATGTTTGGAAAAAGCAAACTGAAGTCTGGAGAAATAGTTGCCTGGTAGAAAGGCAAAATGATGGCACTGAGATGGTGGGACAAGAAGGATGTGTGCCTAATGAGTACCATTCATAATGCCTCCAAAGTGATGGTACAGTCAAAAGGTGGGAAAAAACATTCAAAAGCTGCAGGTAGTTATTGACTACAATAAAACCATGGGAGGTGTTTACAGAGCTGACCAAGCTATGACTTTCTATCCATCAATGAGCAAGCAGCAGAGAAATATTACAAAAGATTTTCCAGCATCTTCTAGAACAGTGCTTGTGGAATGCCTACATTCTGTTCCGCAAAAAACATTGACAAGCCTGTGCTTCATGCGGACTTTATTTGGAAAGTTGCAGAATCCATCTTCCTGAAACACCAAAACACCATCAATGTCTGTAGGTAGATCTGGACAACGTGCTGTGAGAGTTGACAATCCCAGAATGCCTGACTGGACGTCACTTTATGGACCACATCCCACCAACCCAAAAAAAGGCAGCACCTACACGGATGTGCATGGTATGTTGCTCTCGGCGAGATGACAGTGGAAAAAAAATCCACAAAGAAACGAGGTTTCCACTGTCCTGATTGTGATGTCGGACTGTGTGCAGTCCCGTGTTTCAAGATATACCACACTAGGGATGTTTTCTAGAACAAAATGCAGTGTCTATATAATATTGTTTGGACAGCGTTCCGTGTGTTTGATTTGATTACATTATTTAATTTATTATTATATTATTATTTTTATAATTATTTATTATATTATAATTTATGATTTAATGTATTAAACTTTATCACATACAGGATGTCTACTAGACTCTTGTTTAAACAGATTTCAGTGAGTTATTCCTAAGAATTACAGGCCTACAATAAAAAAAGCAACATATTTCAATTAAAAACAATGTACCGCTTTGAGCACAGAAATCCTGACATAATCACACAGCTAGGGAGGTTAAAACATGTCCAATAAAAAAAAAATGAAAAAATAAAATTGTGTTATTAATTTAGGTCAAAATGTATTCTGCTACGTCTTTGCTAAAAAAAATCCCAATACGTGTAAATAATTGGTTTACCTGAAAGTTATAGCTTTTACAAATTGCGGTATAGATATTGGATTTTTTACTAGTAATGGCTGCAATAAGCGACTTATAGTGGGACCGCGGCGGGCATTCTGACACTGGGGGAACTGACTTGTTGTCACTGACCTCCACAGTGACACCAATACAGTGATCAGTGCTAAAAAAAGCACTGACACTGTACTAATGGCACTGGGCAGGAAGGGGTCAACATGAGGGGCAATCAAAGGGTTACCTGTGTTCTGTGTCCTGTTTTAATGGGGCGGCGGTGTGTTGGTGCTTCACTGTGCTATGCACAGCCATCCAGAGCAATATGCCCGAGGAGGACTGTTAATAAACAAAGCCAGGACCCGGTGATTGAGAGCCGTGGCCTCAAATGGCGGCGCTGGTAGAGCGCGTGCGGCTTGCACACTCCCCCTACACGCAAATACAAAATCACGTATATATACTTCACTATTGGCCACTACTGCACTTGAGGTAGCCCTACTACTGTTTATGCTGATCTGAATGAAAAATATAATCTTATCTCTAGTCCCTACTGTTAATTACTTTGTATGCTAAATTGTGTTATTACCATTGCTAATCAATTTTATGCTTGCCTAGTTACCAACCATATTGGGTTGTAATATATTAGGTTTGCTTTTGCTACCAGGTTTGGTGCCTGTTTTCTTTGATATAGCACTACTATCGGGGACTAATAGTTACTTTTTAGTGATTTCCTGTTTATTATACACTTGTACACTTTACCAGGTCAGAAGAGAACCCAATCTATCCATTTCCATTGCTGATGGATCCAATAATACCTGTTGAAGTAACTAGATATTCAGCTGATCCATATCCTTGCTTTATGAAAAGCTTTGCTTGATTATTCCAATATCGGCTATAAATTGGCTTCAAGTGATTGTAAAGCTTGGGCTTTTTTCATTAAAATAACAAAAAATAAAAAAAGTCACAGGGACCTCCTTAAAATCAATACTACTGCCTTTGGATCTGGTATTGATTGTAAGGAGGAACCCCATGCAATACAAAAAAAAGAGTGTGAGGTCCCCCTAAAATCCATACCAGACCCGTTGAAACTGGTACTGATTTTAAGGAGGAACCTCATGCAAAAATCCTAGCCAGACCCTTATCTAAGCACACAGCCTCGCAGACCAGAAAAGAGGGGAGCAGGCATGCTGCCCCCACTCCTGAATCATGCTAGGCCACATGGTCTCAACATGGGGGGGGTGCCCATGTTGATGAGGACAAGGGTCTCTCCCCACAACCACAGGGCCAGGGTTGGGTGCGGGTGATGGGTAGACTTATCAGAATCTGGAAGCACAAACAAATATCTGACATTCTAAATCTAGATCCTTGTCAATCACAATGAACAGTGCCCACTAATCACTGAAAGAAAAAGCCCGCCAATCTGTCGTACTCCTTGCCACTAATGACAGATTTCAAATGCTGAGCATATTTCTATATGAAGATTAAACTTTTTTACCATTTTTATTTAATAAGCATAAAAAATTACCTGGCGATCCTGCCTGAAATCCAATGAGCTGATAACTTCCACTGCTCTTTTCCACTGCTGCATTGTTATCAGTTAGCATTGCTCCCATTACTTTTCTCTCTGCTGACTACACCCCCCCCCCCCACACGATGTACTGGAGATAAGTAGACAATGCTGGTATCATGTGGTGAGTGAGTGTTGTCACCCTAAAGCAGGACATGTGTTACCAGTAGAGTCACCAGGTGAAAATAAAGAAAAAGATAAAAATAAAGAAAATTAAAGCTGCTTGACATCTTGTTGCAACATGGGTAAATTTTTGTTCTCCATTTTAGCTTTAAGCACACAGGAGGCCATCTTCTCAGGGTTATACTACAGTCCACAGGAGAGGTTTGGGGAGAAATACCTTTAATGCATGCATAGATCAGTAGTTAGGTTGGTAATTCATTTAACATCTCTCCTCCTAAAAATGACCTTGGTTTTATAGTAATTAAATAATTCAGTAAATCCAGGCATAAGTACACAAAAAAATAGCTCCATTTTCTTTGTCACTTTGCCTAGCAATGGCCGCCAAGGTTTCCGCCTCCTGGAACTCTAAACTTGTGGTTTAGACTTGTCATCCAAAAACCCTTAATGGATTTTCTAAACAAAAAAAAGAAAATGCATTTACAACGTTCTGTTTTGTTGTGTCATTGTTTTTCACTGTATTGTTAATGGGAAATTATACTGTGGTAGCATTGACTTCCATAATGAGCAGCTCCAGGGTATTAACATGGAACACAAAATTGTTCCATGTGTTTTCACTTGGCCACTTGGAATTTTTACTTTTTTTGTCAAAAGTAAAATGAATGTGTTTTACATCTATAGCAGTATTCTTTTTACGTATATGAATAGAGTGATTATTTGAGATTTCTCTGTCTTATTGAAGACCCCTTTTATCAAAAAATATCTTCATTTTGTGTGTAAAGGTGCAGATTCAGTCCCCTGCTTGACTTTTCTCCAGGCTTCTAACAAGTAGCTCTTTCCCCATTTCTTGACAAGGAGCTCTTCCCCCACCACCTGTCGGGAGCTCTTCCCCCACCTCTTGACATAAATTTGGCTGTAAAGGTTGAAGGTTTTATACCTTTCATGCATACTATGCATGAACACAGTAAACTTTCTGTGTGCTGCTCCCCCCATAGCCATCCTAATATTCTTCTGAGCCCCTTGTGCACATGAGTCTTGGCTGTCCCGGGTCTCTCTCTCCTCTTTGTATCTGGACCGCTTAGCAGTGGTGTGGTGCTTTAATTTAATTTCTCTCGTCATTGGCTGAGACACAGTAGCGGGAACCATTGGCTCCCGCTGCTGTCAATCACAGTCAGTGAGAAAATGAGGAGAGAGTTCAGGCAGGTTGAGCCGTGGCTCTATGTGTCTTATGCATGCATAGAGTGGGGCACGGGAGCAGTAACGCATCAGTGCCCTCATACCAAGCAGCTTGCTATTGGGGGCACTGGTCAAGGGCAGGGAGCCAGGAGCACAGGCGGGGGCCCCAAGAAGAAGAGGATCGGGGCTGCTTTGTGCAAAACTTGCACAGAGCAGGTAAGTATGCCATGTTTTTTATTTAAAAAAAAACCAAAAAACTTTAGAATCACTTGAAGCTCTTTCCCACATCTTGGCAAAGAGCTTCTCTCCCCTCATCTCCTGATAAGAAGCTGTTCCCTCCTCTTGATAGGTAGTTCCCCCATCTCTTGACAGGGAGCTCTACTCCCACCTCTTGACCTAGTACTGTTTCCTGACCTCTTGTCAGGGAGCTCTTCCGCCACTAAATGGCAGGGAGCTCTTCATCACCTCTTGACACAGTAAACCCTTTCCTCACCTTGACAGGGAGATTTTGCCCTACATCTTGACAGGGAGTTGATCTACCCATCTCTGTACCTCCCCACTCGACCTCTTGACAGGGAGCTGTACCCCACCTCCTGACAGGGAGCCCCCCCCCCCACCACCATTTGACAGCAAGCTCTTCCCCCACCTCTTGACATGGAGCTCTTCCCCTTCTCCTGACAGGGATCTCTACCCCCACTTCCCTTAGGGAAGCTCCTCCCCTATGTATTGACAGGGAGCTCTTCCCCCACCCTTTGACAGAGAGATCTTCACCTACCTCCTAACAGGAAGCTCATTCCCCACCTCCTGACAAGGAGGTCAACCTTGCACCTCTTGACAAAAAGCTCTCCTCCCCCTCCTTGTTAGGGAGCTCTTGACAGGTAGCTCTTTCCCTTCTCTATGACAAGGAGCTTATACCCTTTTAATTGGCAGGGAGTTCTTCCCCTACCGCTGGACAGGAAGCTTCCCCCACTTTGATAAGGAGCTTTTTCACTCACATCTTGAAAGGGAACTCTTCCCCAGCCTCCTGGCAGGTAGCTCTTCCCCCACCTCCTGGCAGGGAGTGATCCTCTCCCACCACTTGTTAGGGAATTCTTCCCCCATCTCTGGATAGAAAGAACCCCCCCCCCACCACCAACACCTATTAACAGGGAGACATTCCCTCACCTCCTGACAGGAAGCTCCACATCTTGAGAGGGAGCTCCTCTCCCATCACTTCTGTGCATGACGTTCTTTCCCTTTTCTTGACATAGAGCTCCCCATCTCTTGACAGGGAGCTCTACTCTGACCTCTTTAAATAGTGCTCTTTCTCCACCTCTTGTCAGAGAGCTTTTCATCACCTCTTTAGACAGGGAGCTCTTCCCCGTGTCTTAACAGGGAGCTTCTCTCCCTTCAGCTCTGGACAGGAAGCTCTTCCCCACTTTTTGACAGGAAACTCTACTCACACATCTTTACATAGTGCTCTTTCCCCATCTCTTGTCTAAAATCTCTTCATCACCTCTTGAGTTCTTTATTTACCCCGTGACAGGCAGCTCTTCCCCCACCTCTATACCAGGGGCCACTTTCTCCACCTCTTGACTTGGAGCTCTTCCCCCAACTTATGACAGGGTGCTCTTGGACAGGGAACTTCTCTCACCATGATAAGGAGCTCTTCACCCACATCTTAAAAGGGGACTCTTCCCCAACCGCTTGGTAAGTAGCTCTTCCCCCACCTCCTGGCAGGGAACTCCTCCTCCGCCTCTGGATGGGGAGTTCTTCCCCCATTTCTGGATATAAAGATCCCCCCCCACCACCCGGCAGGGAGCTCTTTCCCCATCTCTTGACTAGGTAATTCCCCCTTCACTTTTGGAAAAGGAGCTCTTCAACCACATTTTTAAAGGGAGCTCTTTCCCAAACTCATGGTAGGGATCACTTCCCCTCCTCTAGATAGAGCTTTCTTCCCCCCATTTCAGGAAAGGGATATCTCCCTATAAATTTTGCAGCACATTACCTTATGGAAAAAAATTGTAGTATATATCCCATTTTTGGCACTGACTAGACTAAGTCTGCATGTTACAGAGGTGAAGCACATTGACTAGGCATGTGGCTTTAAAATATAATGCATATTATAAAATGTTGTTGTAAATGGAAAGCTATTTTGACAGGTTCTCTCAACCAAAATGCAGAACAAAATGCTGTAAAATTGTTTGTGGTGTTTGTTTTTTATCTGTTATTTTCTGCAGTTCAGTCAGTAAACAATTAAACTGTGGCACACTCAATCAATTTTTTATCCAAATATCTTTACACTTGCACATATTCCCTACATTTTTCGACTGTTGAAAATG